ACTTTCAGAAAAGAAAAAATGTCAGAAAAGGCATGACTACCTCTGTGACTTTTGCTACAGGCTATTTCCAAAAGGGTTGAGTCAATTTCTAATGTCAACACTAGTATATGTTTACTAGTTCCACCTAACTTTGCTAGCATTGGGGGTTATCAAGTCCTTAAAAATCCTGATGATTTTTTTTTGGTAATGAAATGATATCTCATGGGTATTTGCTTTCTTTGATTATTAGTGAGAAAAACTATTTTTGTCTTTGTGTTTATCAATTATCTATATTTCCTCTTAGGATAAATATTTATCTTTACAGATTTTTTTTTTTTTTTTTTTTGAGACGGAGTTTCACTCTTGTTACCCAGGCTGGAGTGCAATGGCATGATCTCGGCTCACCGCAACCTCCACCTCCCAGGTTCAGGCAATTCTCCTGCCTCAGCCTCCTACATTTTTTTTTTTAACATACTAAATTGTTTAAAGAAGTTTAGAGTCGGCTGAACACAGGTCAATTGGAATAGCCTTTTCTAACCCAGCCTTTGCTACTGTGGTAGTTGTTTTTGAGTCTGTTCACAGAACAAAGCACAAGTAAACCTACGTCTAGGTACATTCAAGAGACTGATTCTGGGACCTGCAAGAGCAGATTTTCCAAGTAAGCATTTCAAGGCATATAATATTAATACTTAGAGAAAGCACTTGGTTGACATGGCGCTCACTAAGGAGCATGCGGAGGGTGCATGACCTTCACACTTCACAGATTGGTTTAGACATTCATTCGTGAGAAGGCTCTGACTCTTACAACTCGAAGAAACTTAGAAGTCTTCTAGTGACCAGATGTGACCAACAGGTTTCATCTCCAAAGACTGTTTTGCTGGATTGAACAGTTGCCTGGAATTTGGTGTTGAAGACCACTCTGAGACCAACATCTCAAAGCCAGTGGAAAATAATAGAGAAGTGAATTGGCCATTATTCCCAGAGGCCTCAGAAGGGGAAGCACACACGCGTACTGGTCGTTGCCACCTCTGATCTCTCATTTGTAGATGAGAAAGTCATGCTGTCATTTTATAGATGGAAATGGAGGCAGGAAGAGAGCCCAAGAAGCAGATCTCCTGGCTTTTTCCACACTTCCAGTTCCTCCCTGTATCTTTGTGGTTGTTTCCTAACTCTCAGCCTAAAGGAGGGGTGTGCAAGGGGCTGTGGTAAGATCACATCAAAGCCAAATTTCAAATCCATGAGCAGCAATCTTGTGGCTGCCATTTCTATGGAGCTATAGTCAAATCAAGACAGTGCTCTGGGCTACCCGGTCTTCCTAGAGTCCCTCCTGCCTGAGGACAGGGCTGTGCTTGCACCCTCGTGTTCAGATGTGCAGGGTTTTGTGCTGTCTGTTTGTCTAAACCTACTGTTTTACAGAAACCAAAATGCGTCAGAGAAAAACCTCCTAGAGACAGATGAGACTCTTGGCCAAAGATCCAAACCCTGCACACTTATACTGCCCAGTACTTGGATATTTGGAAACCTCTGGATGCTGGAACATTTTGCTTTCACTTGTATGCTTTAAAAGATAGACACAGGAATGGGTTAAATGATACCAGTGGGTAAAAAGAATGTGTTTTCTAATGAATCCGCTACTAATTGATTGAGGAATTAATTCAGGTCATCGATCACAGCTTTTTGAATAATAAATAATACTTTAACATTTATCACTATATGGAACTTATCATTTACAGGGTACTTTACACTTGTAATTGCACTTATATCCCATAATACCTGCATGATGCATCTTACTATGCACAATTTACAGAGGTGGAAGCTGGAAGCCAGGAAGGATAGTTGAAGCATATGGAACTAGCTCATGACCCAAATTCTACTTTTCTGAAATTTGAAGTTTATTAATTCATGAAATCTCATAAACATTTAATATTAACCATATGCCAAACACTGTGCTAAGTCTGGGAGAAAAAGAGGTAAAAAAGAGATAATCCTTGTCATTAAGAACCTCAAAGTCTCGCAAAAGAGATGCACTGAAAATTTAACAGTGTAGCTGGGCGCAGTGGCTAACTCTTGTAATCTCAGCACTTTGGGAGGCCGAGGTGGCTGGATCACCTGAGGTCAAGACAAACCTGGTCAACATGGTGAAGCCCTATCTCTACTAAAAATACAAAAATTAGCTGGGGTGGTGGTGCATGCCTGTAACCACAGCTACTCGAGAGGCTGAAGCAGGAGAATTGCTTGTACCTGGGAGGCAGGGATTGCAGTGAACCAAGATCGTGCCATTACATCCCAGCCTGGGTGACAAGAGTAAAACTCTGTATCAAAAAAAAAAAAAAAATATATATATATATATATATATATATATATATATATATATATATATTAAGTTGTGAAATAATAAGTAAGTCATGATCCTATTTGGTCTTTCATTTTAGAGACCTGACTCACTTTGTTGCCCAGGTTAGAATGCAGTGGCACAATCACGGCTCACTCCAACCTTGATCTCCTGGGCTTAATTGATCCTCCCACCTCAGCCCCCTGAGTAGCTGAGACTACAGGCATGCACCACCTTGCCCAAATAACTTATAATTTTTGTAGAGATGGAGCTTCATCATGTTGCCCAGGCTAGCTTCGAACTCATGGGCTCAAGCAATCCACTCGTCTTGGCATCACAAGCTGCTGAGATTACAGGTGTGAGCCACCGTGCCTGATCTTGTTTGGTCTTTAAACAAAGTAGACCCTCCCCAGGTGCTGCATCCATGAATTGAACCAACCGCAGGTAGAAAATATTAGAAAAAAAAATAACAATATGATAAAAAAAAATACAAATAAAAAGTATGACGACTATTTATATAGCATTTACAATGTATTTATAATATGTTTGCGGTGTATTAGGAGTTATAAGTAATCTAGAGGTGACAAAGTTCATGGGAGGATTGCATTCGGTTCTTTGCAAATATCTGGTGCTTGACCATCTTTGAATTTGGGTATCTGCTGGGGTCATAAAACCCATCTCTCAAGGATATGGAGGGACCATGGCACAGCGAAAAACAAGGCACAGGGTGTGGGAAGAGTCAAGGAGGAACTCCTGACCCAGAATGGGCAGTCTAGGATGTTTCCTGTGCAAGGTGACTGTTTCAAAATGAGTCTTTAAGGATGAAGGGAGAATACTAGGCGGACAGTAAAAGGATGTGAATAATCAGAATTTATAACCTCCAGCCTTATCTCTTGGCTTAAAAGTTCAAAGTTTGGGAGGACGAGGCGGGTGGATCACGAGGTCAAGAGATTGAGACCATCCTGGTCAACATGATGAAACCCCGTCTATACTAAAAATACAAAAAATTAGCTGGGCATGGTGGCACGTGCCTGTAATCCCAGCTACTCAGGAGGCTGAGGCAGGAGAATTGCCTGAACCCAGGAGGCGGAGGTTGCGGTGAGCCGAGATCGCGCCATTGCACTCCAGCCTGGGTCACAAGAGCGAAACTCTGTCTCAAAAAAAAAAAAGAAATAAAAAAAGTTTAAAGTGAAATCCTGTTATCTATTTTCCAGTGAGCTGAGACTATGCCTTAAGATTTCAGAAAAAAAAAAAAAAAAACCCTCTGATTATCATTTGCTTTAAAGATTTTAGCCAAGTATGTGAGGAGTAAGCACTTAACAGAGACCATCAAACCAATGAGCTAAAAACAGGCATTGGAAGAAGCAGATGTTCAGGGGTTAGAGACTGAAGTCAGGGAATTAATGGCTATTGAATTAAACAAGATGGAAATAATTTCAGATTGAAACTGAGTTACTGCTGTTCAGGCAGAGTTAGGCAGAGCAAGAAGGCTCACTCCTGCAGAGAAGCAACACATGTTTGGTCTGATGAGAGGGATTATCAATCAAATGTATAGAAGGATAATAGATCAGTGCATCATTATTATCTTTAGGGAACCCTATGTATTATATAAATTGATTTTTCAGATAACAAAATGAAAATATCATCCATGTTTTAAGATTTTTAATAGAAGCCATCCTAAGAATCATTAACACACTCCTGTCCACGTGCCATCCCTTATTAGCCCTGTGACCTTGGGGAAGTTGATTGACCTTTCTCTGCCACAGTTTCACTCCCTGGAACTGATAATCATCTCTACCTCTAAGGGTTATTTTGAATATGAGCTAAGTTAATGCAAGCAGAACAAAGCCTAGCCTATAGCAAGCAGTTAACACAAGTAGATTCTATTACAATCATCAGTATACACAATAACCAAGATACTTAAATCAAGTTTACCTTTTTCTAGGGGATTTTACTTTTGGAAGAAAAAAATGAGAGTCTATTAACCTTCTTGGGTCTTAATCTGTTCACCTGAACAATGAAAGTTTGGACTTGAGAAACTCAAAGAACCCTCATTAGCCTGGACATGCCCCATGCCACACCTGCCTGGTCACTGTCAGACACGTCAATTATTTCACTGGGTTGTACGCTGTTATCCCTGTGGTGGTCTATGCGAGTGTGGAGGGGGTCTTGCCTCTTGCCCTGGCACTAAATGGCTCCAGAGTACTCTGTAGCTGATGTTTCACCACTCTCCTTTCTGAATGTTAGCTGGCCTTCTTGGTGATTATGTTCTTGTGACGTTGTAAAATATCTATTTTATCTTCATCCAGTTTCCTGGCATACAACTCCTAAAATCCTTGGACTCTCCAAAGTGACAGTGTCTTTTTGTATGTTAATAAGTTGATTGGTGGTGGCAGCCCTTAGGTAGCTTCAGGATGGAGGTTAGTTACTGGTAAGACCAAGGCAAGATTAGAGCATTGGGACTTTCAGCCACACCCCCACCTCCAGGGAAGGGAGAGAGACTAAAGGCTCATTGGCCCATGGCCAATGGTTTAGTCAATCTAGACTACATAATTCAGGCCTCCATTAAGAGCCCGAAAAGACTGGGTTTTGAGACCTTCCTGATAGCTGATGGGAGGTCTCTTAGAGGTGACGTGTCCAAGAAGGGCATAGAAGCTCCCAGTTCCTTCCCGTACCTCGCCCTATGTGTGTCTTCATCTGTATCTTCTGTCATATCCTTTATATTACACCAGCATATGTAAGTAAGTGTTTCCCTGCGTTCTGTGAACTGCTCTAGCAAATTAATTGAAGCAGAGAAGAGGTGGGAGCCTCAATTATAGCCAGTCAGTCAGAAGCACAGGTCACAAACTGAGTCTTACAATTGGTGTTGGAAGTGGGGGGTAGTCTTGTGAGACTGAGCCCTCAATCTGTGAGACCTGATGCTATCTCCAGGTAAAATGTCAGGATTGAACTGAATTAGACACTTGCTTGGTGTCTGCTGCACAATTGATTGATTGGTTGATGGTGGGGAGAAATCTCCACATATTTGGTGTCTGGAGGAGAAATATTCTGTATTAACTGTTGAGTGAAACAATAGAAAAAATACTTTGGTTTTCTCAATATCCTTACAATACTACCCCCTTCCCCATTTTACTTTTGCCCTTTCTGTAAACATCATGTTGCTCTTAACCTCTGGTCCACTATAATTTACTAGAGACTTGAATATTATTGCAAAATGGAATATCCATGACATAAAAGCTGATTCAATGGTGGATAGGTGCATAAATATGTATTCAGTGGTATGTTAAGAACCATATGCAAGAAAGAGGGAATTCTATGGATTGAGGGGTTCTTCAACTTTATTGAAGTACAAGGCACTGAGGATGGATGGTTTGATGAGAAATGAGGATGAAGATCTAGGAGGACGACAGCAAGCTAAGAGAGTGATCCAAACCTTCTAAGGAAACAGTGACAAATTTGAGACTAGTGATTACAGACAGACTGTCAGAGTTCTTGAATCTTCATAACTTCTTCACATGGGTTATTTTTGTTAGTTATGGTTTGTCCAGTGGGACTTAAATATTTAATTATTATTTTAAATTATTTAAGGTTAAAATTTTAAATAATTGTTTTTGTTTCAGCTACAGTTGGCTGAGCATTTACCATGTGTGAGAAGCCCTGCTCACATGACAGCAAATCATTAGAGCAGTTCTATGAGGGAAGCACTCTTAACACTCCTGCCCTCCTGTGTTATACACAAGGAAATTGACTCACAGCAATCAAGTTACTTGCCTAGTACTTGCGGGAGTTTGAAAGCAAGTCCAGGTACTACTGACAACTAAGGCAATGTTTTTTTTTTTAATGCCAGGCAACCTTTAACATTCTCCCAGAAAATAAGGATTCCATGGGTCTTCTGGAGACACTGGAAAACATGGAATTGGTGAGATGACCTGTTCTATAGCCATTCTTGGGGGATAAATGGATATGAACACCAGGGAACGAAGTGGGAAAGAGTAGAGATAGCTCTGAATAAAAGCAACAAGAGCAAGAGCAAATCCTCAGGGAAAGCCCATTGAGGACTAAGCAGCAAGAAGTTTCTGGGGTGTCTGAGTATTTGAAAGCCCATGGATTCAGAGGACAATGCCAGCCGCCCATGGGATTACAGGTGTGGCAGACTTGCGACCCTTACTATTGATGGCCAGGAGTCTGTATGTTCCCTTCTGAGTTGGTGGCCGTGCTTGGCATGGGCAAGTTACCAGGAATTTGGAAGCTGATGTTCTAGTCATGACTTTGTTTCAAAAGGCAGAAAGCTGTATGGCCACAGGTCAAATAGTAGAATCCAGACTGTGCTGGTCAAGTTAAAAAGCCTAACCTGCATGTGTGCCAGGAGAGTCTGGAAGACCCATACTCCAAACGCCTGATGCCCGGAGAAGCCAGGAGGGGCTGCTCAAGCCAAAGACATCAGAGCTGAAGTTCTTCCCTTTCCCTTCCCTCCCCTCCTCAAGTATTTACTGGGCACCTTTTCTGCACTAGACACTACATTTATGATATGACACAAAATTCCTAACCTTGAGGGTCTTGTAGTCTCTTAAGGAGGCAGAATTAACTCACAGTTAGTGCCATTAGAGCTCTAATAAATGGGCCACAATGCACTGTGGGATCACCAAGGAGGAAGCTCCAGTCTGCCTCGGGATGGTACTGAGCTGAGCATCAGGGCATTAATTGGTTGAACTTAGCAAGAAGCAAAGGGGGAGGGGAGAGTGTCCAGGCAAAGAAGACTGTGGGCTAAGCACACAGGCAGAAGACACGAAACCTTTCAGAAACTACAGAAGTTCATTATAAGAGGTCCAGAGGGGTTAGGTGCCATATCAGTGCGAGAGGTCATGGGTAGGCCAGATTATAGAGGGAGCTGGACCCTATACTAGAGACCCTATAGACAATGAAGAACCAGTTAAACCATGGGCTTATGGCATCTGATTGGCTGGAAGGATCACTGGAGCTGCCTGTCTGAAAGTTACATTGGAGGGTGGAAGCCCAATGGAGGGAGAGCGGCTTGTAGGGTGGGAGCATTCTGGTGCGTCTCCTGGCCTGCAGCATCCTTCTGAGTAGATTCAGGCACCACTTGGATTAATTAAAGAGCCCAGGAAGTGAAAATACAGCCGAAAGCATAAACATCATTTTATGAGACTTTATTTTTAACAGCAGGCATCCTAACAAAACACGTGACCTCAGGGAATATCAGCACAAAATTTTCAGGGTCTGAGTTGTTGCATAAGTTGCAGTTCACAAAGAACAGTTTAAAAAAATGTATGACCCTTCTCTTAAATGCCTCAGAACCTCCATAGAGAATCCAGCAGGTTAGAAACTGGAGGCCCCAAGACAACTGATGTCACCAAGCCAGGCAGGAACGTACAAAGCCTGCTTTTCTCAGGAATTCCACTTTTATAATCAGTTCCCCTGTTTGCTAAAGCAATTACCCACTTAATTGCACCAATGAGAACTTAGACCATTGTCGGCTCCCACGTGAAGAAGTGATTTACTTCCCTTGGGCATGCTAGTTCTTTGTTCCAATGGTTCCTATCTGCTGTGTGCCTACTGTGTGGCTAGGTGCTTTGCACACTTTATTTTATTGCATTGTCGTGTAAAACCCCCCAACCTTGTAGTATCATCCTCATTTTACATCTAAAGAAAAAGTACTCAGATGAAATTGCAAGCTGACAGAGATAGCAAGTTGTGGAACCAGGAACTGGACCCAGCATGTGAGGCTCCAGCATCACTCCCGGGTCAGGAGGCATCCACGAGGCACGTGCCTACTGGGAGAGGCAGAAAGGCGCTGCAGTTAAGAGTCTGGGTTTTAGAGTCAGATTTTCCTGTACTGAATTCTGGGTTTGCTCTGGGCTCATTGTGGAATTTGCTCAGGGACTCATAGGTTGAAGCTTAAAGACATGGAAGGATACAGCTAAAGCACTTTGCACAGGGCTTGGCCCAAGCGAGGAATCAACTCATCCCTACCATTACTGGTAAGAATTGCCAAAATTCTGACTCTGCACGTTTTTTCCAGTAATCACAGTATTTCAGGTGAGTTTCCCAGGGTCTTTGGAGTATGAGGTAATTTCGTACACAGATTTAGGGAGAAAGCACTGCCTGATACCAGATGCCATTCTTGGATATTATTATTCTTATTATTTTGAGATGGAGTTTCACTCTTGTTGCCCAGGCTGGAGTACAATGGCATGATCTCGGCTCACTGCAACCTCCACCTCCTGGGTTCAAGCGAGTCTCCTGCCTCAGCTTCCCGAGAAGCTGGGATTATAGGCATGCACCACCAAGCCCAGCTAATTTTGTATTTTTAGTAGAGACTAGGTTTTTCCATGTTAGTCAGGCTGGTCTCGAACTCTTGACCTCAGGTGATCTGCTCACCTCGACCTCTCAAAATGTTGGGATTATAGGTGTGAGCCACTGTGCCTGGCTGAATATTATTTTATTTAATGTGCAACCAGAAGGGCCCATGTCAAGATTTCATCTCAGACCATTGGCTCTTTCCTCACTGTCCCATGCTGTCTATGATGGTTTTGTGTTCACAAAGTTTGGAACAAGAATAATCTTAGTGATTAGAAACCCAGAGTGGACAAAGAGTACGTGTGGCTCACTAATTTGAAGTTCGCTCTGAAACCTTTTAAAGGTTGGCTTTTTAAAGGATTGTTTTCCATGTAAAATTTCAAATGACACACGTTTGTTCCGAACGATTAACTTTGCAGAGAATGGCTAACACAGACTTTTTACAGTAATATGAACAAAAGCAGGATGTTAATTAAATAGTTACTTTTAAGGGCCGTGCCTTTTAATGGCTTAAAAAAACCGCACAGACTACCCGCTGCATTATTCTATTACCACTAATTCATATATTTTTAAAGAGCAACATTGAAAGGGAATGATTTTATTGAGTGTCTAGCTTTATATAAACTTACCACGGAGTTGGCTATTTAATATCCTATGTCACATGATTAAGCCATGGGTGTTAGTATCCCCCAGGCTAGGCCAAGGAGGATCAGAGATGTTTCGTAGCTTGCCCCAGATTCACAGAGCTAGAAATGGAAAAACAGGGTCAGAATTCCATGACCACTGGTGTCCTTTCTACTTTGCCGTGTTCTGATTTGAGTGGACATAGGACCTTTGAGATGAAAACTAGTGAGGGCTGTTAGCCTGGATATGTATCTTTCAGACCTTCCTGTGTGACACTGAACCCATGGCCAGTCATAGGCCAAGGGACACCATGAATATGCCTAAAGGATAGAGCACTTCTCAAAGATTTGCTGCTGGGAGTTGTTTGAGGTCAGAGTAGGCAGGGTGATAGAAATTCCGATAAGTAGGGGATAGAAACATATCTAAGGACAAAGAAAAGAAAATGTTCAAAATCATTAATGGAATCAAGACGCCAATCATTAAAGTGTTGGAATTCGAGTTTGGTTCTGAATAATTAATTGACTTGAGCAACTGTTTTGTATGACTGCCAGGATAGGAATCGTTCTCAGGATTGCATAGGCCCAGGTGTACAGGCATAAGTGAAGAAGTAACTATTTGTCAAGGAGAGGATGAGAAGTTGATAGGGAGGGTGGGTTCTGACAGATGAGATTTGGGAAGGAGTTGTCAAGGATCATGGGATAAACCTCAATCTAGAACGAAATGTTTTGTTTTGTTTTGTTTTCAAGACAGGGTCTTGCTCTGCCACCCAGGCTGGAGTGCCGCAGTGTGATCTTAGCTCTTCTGAGTAGCTGGGATGACAGGTGTGTGTCACCATGCCTGACTAATAAATTTTTTTTGTAGAGATGGTTTGGCCACATTGCCCACGCTGGTCTTGAACCCATGGCTCAAGTGATTCTCTCGCCTCAGCCTTGCAAAGCGCCGAGATTACAGGTATTAGTCACTGAACCTGCCTCAGATTTATTTTTAAGTGAAAGAACTAGGTGACTTTTGTGAAGAAGGTAAACTTTTGAAGCACAGCTGAGCAATAGAGCTTTATGTGATAATAAATATTTTCTATATCTGCACTATCCAATAACTACATGTGGCCATGGAGTATTTAGTGTCTCTTCAGGTGTGTGACTAAGGGATTTCCTTTCTTGTTTTGTTTAATTTTATTTACACTTAAGCTTAAATTGCCATGTGTGGCTGATGACTACCGTATTGGATGGCACAGTTCTAAAAACAAATTACAGTGATTCCCTGAGAAAGTTTAAATGCTATAAATCCCTCTGATCAATAGCTACTCAAAAAGTGTGAAGATTAAGATATAAGTTGGAAGAAACCCTTCTCACAGGTCAGCAAAGCACTGATTGAGTCAGAAAAGAGCTTATTTTATGATGCATGAGATAACATAGGCGAATACATATTACGATAGCAGAAAAGATAGACTTTATATCAAATAAATATAAAACCAGCTTTATTCCGAAGCATTTTTGAATGATTCCATCTGCCAGATGGTTTTTGTTGTTTTGGGAGGCAGGAAGGACGCTATTTCTAAGATGGATAAAGATAAATTAATATTTATCCTATGTTTTTGAAAATTCACCTCTAAAGAACAAATGATTTGAGTGTTGCCATCATGTCGATTATACAAGAATAATTTATTTCATGGATAACTCTGAATTTTCAAGTTGTTTTCATCACAAGCTGTAAAAGAAACAGGCGAGGGCACACAAGTTGGCCAAATGGTCAAGATAAATTCTGGTCAGTTCTTCAGAGATAGTCAGTGTTAGCAACTCCATCTCCGGGGGCCTGACCTAGGAACACACGGGTGGTCGTCAGGATCACAGTCACCATCCTCCACAGAATTCCCCTGGAGGTGGCAGCTGACGCCAACTCGGTAAGGGTGTGGATAGGCGCTGCCCTTTTCCTTCCAAGGATGTGGGAAAAGACCTTGTTTTTGTGTATCAGCAGCCCAGAATTCCAGAAGAAATGAAGGCTGCTCTATGGCCGGTGAGCTGGGTTTTTGTAATGTTACCTTTGCTGCGGTTCCCTCAGACCTCTAGGCATCTGGAGTCCTCCCTGGAATTGAAGGCTTTTTAGATCCTGCAAATGGAGCCAATCTTCCCTAGCAGGGGACAGAGTAAATGACTTAATAGACCTATCACATCTTAATTTTTTTAATGGTTTTATATCCTGGGGTAACAGTGAGGAAGGCATGATTTTATTATTATTAATCATTATTCTATTATTATAGCTTTCCCGTCTGGCTCTTTGATGTTTACAAGTTCAGACAACACGTGGTTTCCAAGCCAGATTTCATAACTTTAAACTACCTTTCCATGTGGCTTCTGTCCACCCTATTTTGTTTTAGATCTTGTTTATGTTTGGCTTAAATCATGAGTTGGCTGTGGTGTTTTATTTTGCCACATGGATTCAAGGCGTCAGATGAAGACAGCATTTTGGATGGCATGTACATCGAAGCGCAGTGTCAAAACTTGGGTGTTTTGAGCTTGCCAGGCTCTGGCTGGGTGGATAAGTACTGGGCTGCCCGTTGAATTCTGCCTGATCCCTGTCACTTGCCTCATAAGAGTGTGAGCTTTATAGCTACAGTCCAGATTCTCTGCTCAAACTAGAAAGTTTCTGTTCTAATGGGAATTTTAGCTTTGCTAAAATATTAGACGCATATGTGTGTGACATAACTTAAAATAACATGAAAAGCTATCCTGGGTGCAGATTGTCCAGGATCTCAAGTGCCAGGACAAGGGGTTTACGTATTGTAGGGTAGTGCAGTAGTACTAAAAGGGTGGTCTCAGGAAAAGCGGTATCAGCATCACCTGGCAATTTGCTACAAATGCAAACTTCCAGGTCCCGTCCTAGACCGACTGAGTCAGAAACTCTGGATGTGGGGCTCACCAATCTGTGTTTTCACGATCCCTCCTCATGGCTCTGATGCATGTTCAAGTTTGGAAACCTCTGGAATAGGGGCATGGGGAGCTAGCTGAAAAGTGTTAGGGCTGGGCGTGGTGACTCATGCCTGTAATCCCAGGACTTTGGGAGGCTGAGGAGGGTGGATCAGTTGAGGTCAAGAGTTCAAGACTAGCCTGACCAACATGGCAAAACCTCATGTCTACTAAAAATACAAAAATTAGCTGGGCATGGTGGTGCACTCCTATAATCCCAGCTACTTGGGAGGCTGAGACAGGAGAATCGCTTGAACCCAGGAGGCAGAGGTTGCAGTGAGCCAAGATCACGCCACTGCATTCCAGCCTAGGAGACAGAGTAAGACTCTGTCACATAAAATAAAAATGGAAAGTGTTAGGTAGTGGAGTGAAATGGTCATTCACACACATTTTAGGAAGTTCTTGCCTGAAACGGGAGAGACACTGGAGTCAGCGGAGAATAGTAAACCAGCTGTATTGCAAAAATCTGAGCAAGGACACGATGAGTGTCTCAGCCAGGATGTAGCAATGAGGCTAAGACTCACCAGACTCATCTGAAAGATGATGTGGAGGGAGAATTTACTGTGTTTGGCTACTGCCCAATAATTGAACATGAAGACCAGAAGTCTAGAATGATTCCCAGCTTCTGTCTTAGGTAGATATTGATGCTATTGAACAAGATAGAAAACAAAGGAAAAGCCATTTTACTAAAACCATGCAGAAGCCAGAGGGCAAAAATTCAACATCCAGTCGAATTTGTGTGGTTTTGGCCACTTGGCTAAAATTCTAGAGAAAGGATTCTGTTGAAAGGCAGGCAATAAAGTATCAGCCACAATATCATGAACACAATGGGGCATATTGAAACCACATGCCTCTTGAATCAGAATACATGTTATGACAGTTCTGTCTTCACTTCTGTTGGGCACCTGTAGTTTTAGTGGTGAATGAGTTGGCTGTGAAGATTCAGTGCTGAGAATGAACATACATAGACAGGAGAGGTCACCAGCATCGGGGACTGGCCTATGCAGATCCCAGCACCGCCTCCAAGTTGCGTGAGATCTTTACTTTGGCATCTTTGCCATAACCAAGGACGTGGTTTTGCCTGTGGTCTGCATGAACACAGGTATTAAGATGCCATGTAAAAGAGCAATTGTTCTGTGTGGTCAGAGACTTCAAAAGGTCAAAGCATAACAGTCATAGCGTTTTTTTTTTTTTAGACGGAGTCTCACTTTGTCTCCCAGGCTGGACTACAGCAGTGTAATACTGACTCATTGAAGCCTCCACTTCCTGGGTTCAAGTGATTCTTCTGCCTCAGCCTCCCAAATAGCTAGGATTACAGGTGCCTACCACCATGCCCAGCTAACTTTCGTATTTTTAGTAGAGAGGGGGTTTCACCATGTTGACCAGGTTGGTCTCAAGCTCCTGAATTCATGTGATCGGCCCACCTTGGTTCCAAAGTGCTGGGATTACAAGTATGAGCCACTGCGTCTGGCCCAGTCATAGCATTTTATAGTGGAAAGGAAACTCAGTGATAAATCATCAGTCCCATTTATTTCATAGATGGGAAAATGAAGGCCCAGTGAAAGGAAATGACTTGTCCATGTCCAGGGACTCCATTCAGGACCAAGTATGAGATATTTTTCTCCATAATCACATCAAGGCAATCCCTAATTCCAGCTCACATCTCACTCAGTAAAAGCAATAAGGACAGACTCAAATTGGGCCCATCTATGTCAAGCACATGCACAGAGCTGCTGCTTCCCCATGGATCAGCTCCTTCGGTCCCCACCTCAATGCTGTACTTTAAGAACTGGTACTAGTTCCAGTTTAGCAGATGTGAAAACAGAGGCTTAGAAAGGTCAAGTCCTGGCCCAAGTCAACTCTATCAGCCTGGTAAGTGTCCAACCTGCTATTGCCTGATTCTAGGATCTGAGATTTCGATAGCGATGCTCTATTGTTTCTTTTATCTCTGAAGCTTTCCTGAGCCCCTCAAGAACTGGCCTTTTGCTATGTGTTCCAGCAGCCTCCATCCTCCCTCCTCCGCCGACTTTAATCTCCCTTTGTCATTATTATCTGTTGTCTCCTGCGCACTCCCATGAAGCCCTGCATTCTGCCCTCATCTCAATTGTCATGCTTTGCTTATAGATTATTCCTCACTTGATTGCAAACTTCAGGAGGAAAAACACTCTGTCCATCTTTTCACAACTATGCATGTGCCTGACACCTAGTAAGTGTTCAATAAATACTTTTTGAGAAAAACAGAATGTATAGCAGGGCCAGGTACAGTGGCTTACACCTGTAATCCCAACGATTTGGGAGGCTGAGGTGGGTGGATCACTTGAGGTCAAGAGTTCGAGACCAGCCTGACCTACATGATGAAACCCCTCAAAATATAAAAATTAGCCAGGCATGGTGGCATATGCTGTAATCCCAGCTACTTGGGAGACTGAGGCATAAGAATTGCTTGAACCTAGGATGTGGAGATTGCAATGAGCCACGATAGTGCCATTGCACCCCAGCCTGGTGCCTGAGTGAGTATCCATCTCAAAAAATATATATATAGTAAGATGTGGGCTTTTCAAGTGCAGGGATCCTGCATCAGCCATCTCTATTCCTTCTCCAAAGCCTACCATGTTTTTGTCATGCAGTGGGGACACCCTGACGGTTTTTGAAAGCATGAATTGAGAGGAGAATTCGCTGGGTGTGTTGGCTTACACCTGTACCTATAATCCCAGCACTTTGGGAAGTTGAGGGAAAGCTCTTTTTTTTTTTTTTTTTCAAAACAATAAAGATAAAAATAAAAGAGAATTTTTCTCAGAACAAAGAATGCTACTCACAGTGGGCTCAGGAGGACTCTGTGTCTTCCAGAATAGAGGAAGCAGCTGGCACAGAGAGGAGAGTCTGGAGAATGCCAAGGACAGACTCCGGTGACCTCACCAATGTTCCCCATATGTGGAGCACTGCAAGTCTGAGAAGCATTCTGACAGGAACGAGGGTGAAGGGGAGAATCAAGGTTCACTTCGCTTAATGTCTATGCTGGCCTGTCTTACTTCCTCCTGGGTCCTAGAGTGTGGAAGCTGCAGCTCTTGTTCCTGAGGCTGAAGGATCTCAATGGCTCCTGCACACAGTAGGCAGACTGCAAATGTCATATGAATGCATACGAGAAACACCAATAATCTTCGATAAAACTTATTAAGCACTACCAACTGGCTACTCTAAGTATGTTACATGGTTTGTACAGTAGACCAGCATTATCCTCAATTAATCATGGAGGAAACAATAACCCTGGAGGGTGAAATTGCCTGCCTATGGCTTCGCAAGCTAGTAGGTGGTAAATCAGAGTTGGAACCCAGCAGTCCGGCAGCCATGCCCTTCACCACCCCCATCGACAGCCCACAGTGAGTGATGGGTCTCAGCAGCACGGATGTGCATCAAACACACACTCCTCCTCAGGGATCATTTCTCTGACTGCAGAACAGGAGCCAGGCTGGGTGTTGAACAAGGGCACAGTGTTGATCAGCAAGTTGTAATGGCAGGGAGCATCGAGCAAGTGTTACTGGTACAGGGTGGGTGGAGGCACAGAAGCCCATGAATGAGCAGTTCAGTACGGGATGTGAAGGAATGGGAGTCAGTTTTCCCCCACCCTTGTAGGTGATATCTGTCTCTTCCTCACCTGCTCTACCTAAAAGGTGGCCCCAGAGTTCAGTCTCTGAGAAATGTGATTATAGATTAGTGGCCCCTTAGGGATTCTGGGGCCGATTCCCCCTGACAGAGGTGAAGGGACTAGCCAGACCAGTCCAATAGCCAGAGGTCCATGGAGCAGTTGCAACCTCCAGCAGGCTGTGCTCTTCCACCCTCTTTTCCCTTCTCAACTCTCAGCCAGGGAACTGAGGTTCAGGCCACTTGTTGGGAGGTGAGGAGAGAAACCAAGAAGATAAGTGAGGCGGGGCCCGGGCCTTGTCCACTTCCCAGCAGCCTCACCTGCTCAATGGGCTGCCTTGCAATGTGGTCCCGAGGAAGCGCTTCAAGGGCTCGGGCCTACTGTCTGTAGAGGGGATGGTGATAATGCTGCCTGGCTCCTGCAGACCCTAGGTGACAGTCAGCAATTGAAAAGGAATGCGGGGAGGCGTTCACCATGTGGTTTCCTGCTGGATCTGAGCCCACCATGAAAGCCGGGCTCTCCGGACCCAGCACTTGGGCAACCATATCACGTCCTCCTTGTCAATCTGGGCATGTGTGTGTTAGTTGTGTGTGTGTGTCCGTGTGTGTGTATGTGTGTGTGCAGGTGTCTGTAGGCATTCGATGGTTCTGCCAGGGAATCTGTTCTTTACAACTGAGCTTTTCATGGGCAGGAAGGCCTGACGGTGATGTCAATGTCTCTTCACTGCCTCCGTTGGGTGAAGTTTGCCCCTATACTTATTCCTCCTCCTGCAACCCATCCTTTGACTTCTGTGACTGGGATCCTTGGCGATGAGCCATGTCACGAGGCCAGGCTCTTCCACCTGCACAGCCCTTGGCGTTTCCAGACCACATGTGTGATACTGAGGAGGAGAAGGCTCCTCCTCAGCTCCTCCAGGCACAGTCAAGAAGGGTAGGGAAAGTTCTGGCATGGCAACTTACCATGTGCCAGGATTGTGTTACACATTTTGCACAAGGATCTTTAAGTCTCAGAAGTGTTTCTGACAGGGAGATATTTTTATGCCATTTTACTGATGGAGATGTCAAGGCTCGGAGATATTACAGGAATAGCCACTGCTAGTAAGTGGTGAAGCCCACGGTTTTAGTTCGGCTATCCTGTGGCGACTCGTGAGGCTGAGCAGTGGTACTGCCACGGCCATGGACATTGGCCTGACTCTTAGGGAGTTTCTGCTGTGCTCTGGGAGGGCTCTGTGGATTGTGTCCTGGGAAGGGACTGGGGCTCCTTCTGCCTCATTTTAGCATCAATTCCTGAACCTGATGTTTTTCTGCTGTGAGCCAGTCCTCATGTTTTATTCTCTAATCTCGACTTTGCCGAAAAGCAGGCAGCCTTTGGAGAAGCTACAGAGGTGACAGACTTGAGTTCTGCCTCTGGTCTGTACAACTGTGGGCAAACCTCCTTTCTCCTCTGGACCTCAGTTTTCCCACCAGTGATATGGGATTATTCTAGAATGATATCTTAGGGTCTTTCCAGCTCTGACTTCATTTCATTGCCTGACACCGCATTGCTTTGTATTTTATCTTTAGACACCCTCCCCTCTCTGAAAGTTTATAATCTTTCTCATGGAGGCTTCTGGATAGTCTGACTTAAAGTATAGCACCACCTTCTGGTGACTGGCTTACTCCTTTTTTCCCCCTTTGACTCCTATCTGATTCTTGGTTCCTCGCTTCCTTCAGAAACCAGGCTGAAAACCAATGATCAGGCACAGCCTCCTGGCTGTGGGCATCTCTCTGCAGAGCTCACCTGGCAGGGTCAGTGATGAGTTATGGCTGGACCTGGCATTCTTCCATCAAGACGGTGCTGATGCTTTTCCTGGGGCTGAGATTATACCAGGAGCCCAGGAGGAGCTGGCCACCTTGGCGGAGCCTGGAGGGCCTGGGGCAGCAGCAGCTGAAAGCGTGTAATTCTTGAGGGATTTGCTCCATCGGGGAGCAAGGGCAGAAGTGGACCAGGTCTTCAGCATGGCTTTTCCTAACCTTTTGCTTTTGTTGTTGAGGTGAAGAAGCAGGCTTCAGAAAAATGTACGGGCAGCCAAGTTTCAGAGGCTCTTAGAGATTTTTTTTTTTTTTTTTTTTTGGCTTTATTTTGTTTGGAAAAAGAGCAAGAAAAACAAGGGGTGTGTTTAGGGCCTTTTCCCCATGAGGGAAATATGGAGGGTCTCTCTGAGACCTTTGCCTTTGCCTCTCCAGGTCATGGCTTCTAAGCAGATTTCTCAAAGCTGTTCTCATCTGCCCCACACCCATGATGGTCTGAGGATTCAGCTATAGGGATAGAGAGGATGGTGGGCTGTGGGATCTTCTACAGCACCTGTCAGCTTACTACCCAGGAGGACAGAGTTTAGGCTTGTCTCTATTCTGGAGAAACCTGACTGCCCCTGAACAGGCCGGGCCATGTGTGGCTTTAATTTCCTGGAAGTACACGTGGTATTGACTTGGGAATGTCTGCTGTTCAAAAATGTTGCTTGGGAATAATGAACTCTGAACTGGCAGATAGGAGACCAGATTCCAAATTATGAAAAATGCACGGGTCTAGGTGTTCTGCAGCAGCTGAGTGTCTTTTACCTGCTGAGCATAGTGTCTTCTGCAAGGAGAGAGTAGAAATGAAAGAGTTTCCAGATTTCTAAGCATCATTTTATCCCATTATTCTAGAACACTAGGAGTTAAGTGACAGGGGTTTTCAGTCACACTCTGCTGCTTCTCTGGTAAGCCACGTAACTTGTCCGGCTCCTAACGAGTTTGTCAGTTTGGGCAGCATCATGCAATGGAGTGGGGTGGGGCCCCATGCCATCCCATGCCAGTGGGCTCTGCAGGCTTGCAAAGTTGTAGGAAGGATGTCCAAGGGTGCAGTGAAACCCCGCTGCCGTGGATGGGGTGGGTGAGCACATACACAGGTGCCTGGGCCTGGAGCAGGCTGGGGAAGGGCAGGGAAGGTAGACAGAACCAGTAGGATGGCTATGATTCCAGAGGGAGAGCCACTAGTGTCCAGAATGAATGCCCATATCTCAATTAAAAGGAAGGAATTATCAGCAGTCGAAAGAGAAATGTAAACACAATTCCAAATTGTCCATTTTTTTTAACCTTCATCGAGTCTGGTGGTCCATGTTTGTTCTATGCCACCAGGCAAATGTGTGTTCCTACACAGTCACACCTGTGTGTATATGCTCTGAACTGGAAGTGCTACATCGAAGGAGGCCGGCAGGGTGATACTCGGCCGCCAGGCCTCACTGAACCTTGTGGGAATTGGCAGGAAACTGTTGGTAAATCACTTGGAATTCTGTGGGTACAGAAGCTGTGTTCATTGAAGATATCATTAGTGCCTTTTGTCAGGAGCCAGAAGCCCACAGTGCAGTCCACCGGTGCTTGACTTAGCTTGTCTAGTAGTGAAATTAACATAATAAAACTCAGTTAACAGAGATGCTACAGATTTAATTAGTTCTTTAACAACTAAAGAAGAGTTATGAGATCTTGAGTTCTCCATCTTCAAAAGCAATTTGGGCAGATTGATGTCACCATCTGACATCTCCGCCGAAATTCAGGCTGCCAAAGTTGATCTGGGAAATTGCTCATATTATTTTGCCTCCAGGCAAGTACATACACTTTCCTATTGCCTTGAAAGGAAGCACTTCCAGGTCGCCTCCCAACTGATTGTTCCAGAACCTGGGGCTCTCTGGAAATAGGGAGGTTCTGCCGTCTGGGCTCTGGAGCTTCTCCTTTGGAGTACTTGGCCTTCCTGCCTCTCCTCCCACATCCCGGGACCTGCCTCATCTGCCCTTTGTACTCTGCAGGTGCCCAGTAGATACAGAAGTTGTAGCTCTCCAGTGAGATGGAGTTCCACTCACGTTGCCCAGGCTGGAGTGCAGTGGCACACTCTCGGCAACCTCCACCTAGTGGGTTCAAGTGATTCTTCTGCCTCAACCTCCCGAGTAGCTGGGATTACAGGCATGTGCCACTATGCCTGGCTAATTTTTGTATTTTTAGTAGAGACGGGGTTTCACCATGTTTATCAGGCTGGTCTCGAACTCCTGACCTCAGGTGATCCACCGACCTCGGACTCCTAAAGTGCTGGGTTTACAGGTGTGAGCCACCGCGCTGGCCTTGTTCTTCTAATTTCCTGTGCATTAGGTGCCTCTTCGGAATCTGTATCAGCTGCTATGAAAGGTAATATGGCTATTAAGCTGTTTGTTCTGGCTGGTGGATGTAGAAGTGTTACTACCCCACGGTGGGTGACTGGGAACTAGAACAACTGGAGAAGTTCAGGAGACCTGTGGCAGCTCGGAAAAGCTGTTTTTTGTCTCTCCAGAAATCACGTGTACAAAGCAATTCCTTGGCAAGAGGCTGTCTCTAGGATCCAG